AGGCTGAGGCAGGAGGATTTTTGTTAAGTGCAAGTCCAGCCTGGGCTACTAAGTGAGCTCAAGGCCAGCCCAAGCTTTATAGTGAGATCCTGGCTCAAAAAGACAGAAACAAAAAAGGAGAAGAAACTAGAATCAAAAGACTGCTAAGCACCAGGTGAGTGCCATCAACTGCTCCGACTGTCCCTGGAGCACTTGGCACAGCTGTGGTCTCAGCGGCAATCCTGGAAACCTGTCTTAAAAGACCAGAGTTTCTCTCAGAGCAGACAGCTGTTCTGGCTCCGGGAGCCAGGAGAGGGGCCCAGTGATTACCTTCTTGTTCAGCTCGATGTTCTCCAGCACCTTGATGGCCTGGTAGTAGTCTCCCAGCAGCGAGTGCAGGCGCAGCAGCCCCACCAGGCTGAAGTAGCCGAGCATCTTGTAGAGGGAGTGCCGTCCATACTCCCCAGCCACACTCTCGGGGTCACCTGGAGGGACAGAACAGTGGCTGCTCCAGCAGGGGCTGCTGCACCTTTGAATGTTACCAAGTGCCAGCCTCAAAAGCTTCCATAAAAAGAAATACCTCGGCCTTTGAAGATACACCAGAAACAGTACCGCTGGCTTCAAGGTAATCTTAAACTAAGTTACTTGGAAGGCAGCACTCCCTTCTGTTTCTGTTTGAATACACCTGAGATTATGAGAGGCCTCGCAGCAGTCACTCGCTCACCTCAGCCCTCCTTTTAGAAAGTCTCCGAGCCAAGGTGATTTTCCTAAAACATTAGCACCCCACACACACACGCAGAGGGGACAGGGACACTGATGGTGCAGAAACAATGATGGGTACTCCTGACAACTTGGCATAAACCAGGTAGCTCAACCTGAGCCACAGCACTGCTCCACGCCACACACTCGCTCCCCCCTTTCCAGGAGCATCATTTCTCTTGGGCCTTTTTATTTGGCTGGCTCAGCCGGCCCTGGGGGCAGGGCTGACACAGCATGTGGCACCAGGGATTGAACCACAGTCCCTGCACTCACCTAAGCTTGCCTAAGCAGGTGCTTTAGAACAACTGGGCTATCTTGATGGCCCCACCACCACTTCTCTTAAGAGAACATGTGACCCATGTGACCCATGAACCAGTTATTCAGATTTGGGCATCTGGTAGACATGGTGGGTTATATCTGTAATCCCCACACATGGGAAGCTGAGGCAGGAAAACTGCTCCACATTCAAGGCCAGCTCCACATTCAAGGAGACTATGTCTCAAAAAACAAAGCAACAACAAAAAAAGACAGCTGGGGATGTAGCTCAGTACAAAAGCCCTGGGTTCAATACCCTGTGCTGCCAAATGCAAAAAGGAAAGATAGCGCCCACTGATCCTGGCACGACAGCATCTGCGAAGCGCTAAGCACAGGCCCTGGCCCTGCGTAAGGCCGGCACTCAGCCCAGCTCATCCACACAGGCCAAGACCAGCCAGTGGGGGCGTTTCCAGACAGCAGCTCCCTGCACTGGGCACTCACCTCCGCTCGTGTACACCTCCAGCTGCCGGTTGATGTTGGATTTGTCCACCAGGGAGTGAAGGACGTTGAGGACACTGTGGACGTTCCAGATTTTGGGGTTGGATCGAAGGAAGTCAATCTCTTCCTCAGACTTCTTGGCCGTCTTACAGCGATACTGACTAAATGACTGGAACTGAGGAGAAAGGGGGAGATGCAGCGGGCACAGGCCTCAGCACGGAGCTGATAAGGAAAGGCAAGGGCCGAGCTGCCACTACTAAATGACTCTGTACACTGTCCTTTCTCTAGCCAGGGCTTCAGCTTTGCCTTGTTGGTCTCAAACCCCTAGGCCTATGCGAACCTCCTGCCTCAGCCTCCTGGGGAGCTGGGACTCTGCATATGCCAGCCACTGCACTCAACTTACTATTTACTTCTTTCAAAGGCATTTCTGATTCTTTTTTTTTTTTTTTTTTTTTAATTTTTTTATTTGTGTGTGTGTGTGTGGCCAGCTCAGCCCACCAGGGGGCAGGGCTGGCTGGCATGTGGTGCTGGGGGATTGAACTGCGGTCCCTGTGCTTTGCAAAGCTTGTTCTAAGTAGGTGCTTTAGACCACTGAGCCATCTCATGAGCCCAGCATTTCCGATTAAGACATCAATTTTTCTGATTACTGAGGATGTTCCTCCACAGGTATGTGAAGACCTCTATAATTTGAGGGAGCTTATGGAGGAAAAAAAAAAAAACAACACAACCAAAAACACTCAACTTAAGAGTCAAATACAACCTACAGTCACTTATTGTCTCTGGTCCTCAAAGCAGCCAGCCTGGCCACAGAAAACAGCACAGGGCTCATGTACAGCAAGCTGTTCCTCTGTGGCCTGCCTGTGCTGGGATCAGGGTCACAAGTGCCATGGGATATGGATAGGGCAGGTGTCTCTGGGTCCTGCTTCTCTTACCAGTCAACCCTAGTCTGTACCACCACTCTACCAACCAGAGGCTAGTTAAGAAAAGCACAGCGGAGGCAGGCCACAGGAGTGCTGGGGACAGCGCTCCACCTGGACGGAGAGCAGGGCTGGCTCTATCTGTCATACAGAGACCAGCAAAGCCAAACAAGCTGCTCATTCAGACCTTCAGTTTCCTGACTGAGCCGGCTGTGATGGGGCACACCTGCAATCCCAGGGCTCAGAGCTGAGGGTCACAAATTCAAATTCACGCTAGACAATCCAATGAGGCCCAATTCCACATTAAAAAAAAAAAAAAAAAAAGCTTTCATTTAGCTCACTGTGAAGTCCCTGGGTTCAATATCTAGTACTAAAAAATGTGGATAGGCGTGTTCCCGGATTCTGGTCACAAATCCGTGACGCAGCTTTTAGTTTACATAAGGTGCTCACCAACTCCATAAAGACATTATCTTCCTCACAAGCAACAAAACACTTCAAAACTTATAATAAACCCAAAATAAGATCCAGAATATATAAAAAATGCTCAGGGCTGGCCAGATAGTGCAGAGGACTGAAGCACGTGCTTAGACGGATGCAGGGACCAGGATTTGATTCCCTGCGTGCTGTGCCAGCCCCGCCCCCGGGGCACGCTGGGCATGCTGGCGGATGCCTGTAATCCCAGCGCTTGCAAGGCTGAAAACAGGAGAATCGCTATGAGTCCAATCTGTATAGTGAGACCCTGTAGACCCTGTACTAAATACATAAAAACTAAAATAAAATAATTAAAAAAAAAAAAATTCTCAAAATGAGAAAAAAGACAATCCAATGGAAAATCATGCCAGGTGTGGAGGTGCACACCAGTAATCAAAGCACTCTGGAGGCTGAGGCAGGAGGATCGTTGTGAGTTCAAGACCAGCCTGGGCTACAAAGTGAGCATAAAGCCAACCAGAACTACATAGTGCGGCCCTGTCCCCCTGAAAAAATTAAAAATAAAATAAGATAAAACTAAAACAAACAGGGGCTGGAGAGATGGCTCAGTGGTCTAAAGCACCTACTTGGAACAAGCTTAACAAAAGCATCAGGGACCGCGGTTCAATCCCCCAGCACCACATGCCAGCCAGCCCGCCCCCTGGTGGGCTGAGCTGGCCTCTCTCTCAAATAAATAAATAAATAAAATTAATAAAAAAAAAAAACTAAAACAAACAAACAAAAAGAAAACTGAAAATCACATACAAAAATAGAATTATCAGTTAATATGTAAAATGCTCAAGTACTTTATCAGGAAAATATAAATTGAGGTTAGCACTTCCTTCCCATGAAACTGACAGAAGTCAGGCAGACTCCTAACACTCAGTACAGAAAACAGCTTCTCTCATCTGCTGCTAGTTGTAGGACATTTTAACACAGCCCTTGGGAAGAAGAATATGTTCCTATTAAATTTAAAGCATCTGCTGCTGGCTGTGGGAGTGCACGCCTGTAATGTTAGCATCAGGAGGCTGAGGCAGGAGGACTGCTGACACTTCAAGGCTGGAACACCCATCTCAAAAACAAAACAAAATAGGGTGGGGGCTATAGCTAAGTGGCAGAGAACTTGCCTATTATTCTCAAGGCCCTGTGCTCAAAATTCAGAATGGGGGGGGGGTCAGACCTCAAAGTCAAGGCTTAGGTCTCTAGTCACAGCAAAACAGCAAACGGCACCACAGAGCACGACACCATCTTTCTAAGCTACATCTCTGTAAGTACAGGTTTAAGCAAACAATCGAGAACCATTAAAGCAGTGCTTTCCTTCCAGACCCCGATGCCTCTGCACAGGCAAGGCAGGCAGACGCTTGCACCCAGCTACAGATTAGAAACAAGCAAACTGAACACACTGACACACTCCTACAGACTTGAGTCAACAGAAGTACACGGGTGGTGAGGAAGGCTGCTCGCCCTGCCTGGCCAGACAGGTGCTCACTGACCCTCACTAGACAACCTCTGTGGAAACAGAAAGCCCTTAATCCCCTTACCAAGAGAACACCAGCTAAACCCAGGGAATTATGCTTATCTTAAGAGGGATCAAAATATCAGCACACACACCTGAAAGTCCAGAGCTGCAGGGGCCAGGTAGGAAGATCCAAGCTGAATTCTATCTGGCCAACTCACTGAGACCTTGTCTCAACATGAAAAATAAAAGGAGCTAGGGATAGCGCTCAGTGGCAGAGTGCCCCTGGGTTCAATCTCTAGTACCAGAACAAAACCCAAATACCTCAGCACTGCAGATCCTCCCCTGGCTACGCCGTGAGGGCAAATCCCCTAAACCATGCCAGAGAGGCCACAGTCAAGGAGCCAGAAAGCCCAGAAAGTCAAGGCAGTCCACGATGCTCACTGTCAAAGGCACAGAAGCCTCATTTTCTTTCTTTCTGTCTCTCTCTCTCTCTTCTTGTTATGTTGAGACAGGGTCTCACGGTCTAGTTCAGGCTGGCCCTGAATTCACAATGTAGCCCAGGCTGGCTTCAACCTTGCAGGGCTCTTCCTACCTCAGCCTCCTGTATGCTCGGACTACAAGCCACCATACCCAGCTAAAGCCTCATCTTTTTTTTTTTTTTTTGCTATAAAAGGTCAATATTTTAATTTTCTAATGCAGATTATAGTAATGCACAGAAAGGCTACAATAATAGGCAATCTATCAATGAGATAACACAAGGTATTTCTGTATCTTATGTATATTAATTATCCTCTCTCCAGCTTAAATAATGTTCCATTTTCAGCATGAACTTTCTTTTAATCAATAAATCTCCCACTTTAAAAAAAATCTTAGGGTAATTTCCAGTGAGCTTTATCAAACAGAGAAACAAAAGACTACAGATACTACAGAGTTACAATCAGAAGGAATCAGTTACTCAGCACTATAATCACAGAACTGCTGTAAGCCAGCTGGCTTCTCTAATTTAGTATAAACTACAAGGGTATACATAAAGATCATAGCCTGATTTCACCAGTATTAACTAATATTTGCAAAGCTACTTGAACTTTTCTGTTGATCTTCATTGTTGTGAAATAATAATGATAGTTTTGATGGTGATAAACTTCATTCTTTTCAGGTGAGGATGATCTGAGCTCTTAGTTTCTTGAAAAAGAAGTTTTGAAAGTTATATACATAGGTTCCATTTAAATTATGCAGCAGTCTATTATGAATAATAACGTCCCAGATCTTGTTTAATGAGGAGCTCCACCGTCAGATCAAGTACGGTATTTCATAACTATAAGAACGATGATCACTAGCAAAAGGATAGCAGCAGCCAAAGCCATGATGGCTCTTATTTTGCATCCCCGCCACCACATTTGCCTTCGTAGTTGTTTGGATCTGTTGCTAAAAGCAGTTGCATTATCCGATAAGCTTTCTGACTTGTCCTGCAGTTCGTCTAGTCTCTCCCCTCTTTCAATTACTTTTGTGATATTTTCTTGCATGACATCAATAACCTCATCCACCTGATTCTGGACATGCTTGATTTTATCATTTCTAGGTCCAAATCTTGGTCCAGATGGTCCCCTTAGAAAAAAGTCCTCTTCATCTGAATCATCTTCCAAAAGATTTCTCCTTTCACTTTTCACAGAACCAGTGACATCATCATCATTTAGGTGGCGCTTAAATTTGGGAGGCATATTTTTTATTCTTGGAGTACTTTATTTCCCAGTAGAGTATTCACCACCTGAGGCTCCGGGGAGCTCCCGGCAGCTCTCTCGGGCAATGTGCGGCTGGTGGGCGGCCGGGGGTAGAAGCGGGGACCAAGGAAGACTGAGAAGAGGGGGAGACTGCGGGCGCGCACCCGGCGGCGGGCGCGCACCCGGCGACGGCCGCTGCGCCGGAGCTGCCTAAAGCCTCATCTTAAGCAGGAAGCCGCTTTCTCAAAAAGCCCCGCAAAGGTCTGCTCAGCTCCACAATCACAACTCATCAGCTGGTCACCACCAAGGACACTTTGCTCTGTGGTACTCTGTGGTACACACTGTCTGTGCTAAGATGCTGATTTCCCCTAAAGGCACCATGTGACAGCTACAGTCTACATCAAGCAAGGGAAAGGAATCTTTTCTTCCCCTAAGTGCTGTATTTTCAGAGTGGGTTAAGCAAAAGAAGAAAAATGGCTCCCAGGATCCCAACTACTCAAAAGTTCAAAGCCAGCCAGCGATGGGCATGGTGCCCAGCACTCAGGAAGCTGAAGTGGGAGGATCGCCTTGAGTTAAGGCCAGCCTGGGCTGCACAGTGAGTACAAGGCCAGCTTACACTGAATACTGAGATCCTACCTTAAAAAAAAGTTTTTAAAAAATCAAAGCCAACCTAGGCAATTTACCACAACTATGCTCAAAAAAAAAAAAGGGCTAAGAATGTAGCTTAGAGGTAAGATACTTGCCCCAGCACCCCTGAAACCTTGGGTTCAATCTTTAGTATCACCAAAAACAAACAAACAAAAAGTTAACCATCACCCTAGTGGACATTTACTAGTCATTGTGCAACAAAGTATTTTATGTAGTATCCCAGGAATCATCCATCAATCTGTTTTAGAGCTAAGTAAAGGAACAAAGCAACAAAGTGTGTTAAGTGATATAACACGCCCATTATCCAGCGACAGCACACCGTAACAGTGGTACT